AACACTAACACAGATAGAACGTGTGCTCTCTCAGTGACGGCGCTCTCTCCCTCTCTCTCAGTCGATCGATCCCGGGCAGCAGTTCACATGGGAACACTCAAACCTGGAGGTCAACAAGCCGAAGAACCGCTACGCTAATGTGATCGCGTATGACCACACGCGTGTGATCCTCGCTCCGACAGACGGTACGACCGCTGAAGCTGCTGTGATCTGGAGTCTCTGTCTGAAACACTACACCAGCTCTTAGCAGATACACATTCATTCTTACACATTGTCCTCTTCTCTCCGCTAGGCATTGTGGGTAGTGACTACATCAATGCCAACTACATCGATGGTTTCAGGAAGCAGAACGCATATATCGCCACCCAGGGGCCGCTGCCGGAGACCTTCGGGGATTTCTGGAGGATGGTGTGGGAGCAGAGAGCTGCTTCAGTGGTCATGATGACCAAACTAGAGGAGAAATCACGGGTGAGAGACTGACCAGACAGAACACGCCTGACCCTAACACACAGACCCAAGAACACTGAAGCACTCATCTGATCTGATCTCCATGTCCTGTGCTCCTCTTGTTCAGATCAAGTGTGATCAGTACTGGCCCAGTCGCAGTACAGACACGTTCGGGGCGGTTCAGGTCGCTCTGCTGGATACCATGGAGCTGGCCACATTCTGTGTGAGAACCTTCTCTCTGCACAAGGTGAGACGTGTTTACATTTCTGCTCTCGCTCTAATCAGCATCCAGAGATCCAGAAAAACCATCCGGCAAAAGAGTCTAAAATTTGAGAGTTTAAACTTCTGTCATCTTTAATTCGGCCTCTTTATCTCAAACCCTCTAGCGCCACCATCAGTTCAAAACATCACCTGCATTTAATGAACACACAGATCACTCTTATTCCTCTATAGATGGTAATGAGCAGTGTTTAGGAAAGTTAAGTTACTTTTGAAGGTAATGCATTACAATATTGCGTTACTCCATAAAAAAGTAACTAATTGTGTTAGTTACTTTGTATGGAAAGTAATGCATTACTTTACATTTGTGTTACTTTTTGTCACCTGGGCTGGGCTTGCTTATTTGTTTTTTAATAACGAAAAAACAAAAGTTGTATATTTGAGAGCCTCTGTCTCTGCACTCTCTCCTGATTTCTCTGTGAATGAGTGAATCAGTGGGAAAACAAAGTAACTTGTGTTACTCATTTGAAAAGTAACCCTTTTACATTTTAAATTGATGCGTTACTTTACTAGTTACTTGAAAAAAAGTAATCTGATTACGTAACTCACGTTACTTGTAATGCGTTACCCACAACACTGGTAAGGACTGCTCTCAGTTCACATCCAAAAGTTATTAATAACTTTTATCTTTTTCAATGAATGTGATGAGCCAAAATGAGATGTTATATCTAGAGTGCACTGAAACGAAGCGTCTTCATTTGCTGCGAGTGTAATCACTTCTACTGCAGATTAACAAATAAAATAGTTTATCTATTTTAGTAAGTGTTTTATGTTTATTGTTTTATTTTAATTTTACATTTTATAATTTAATAAATTTTTAGTTCCACATGAATTCACAGACCCCAGTTTGCTCTGGATTGTAACAGGGAAGGTTTCTCAGTGTTTTGTGCGGTCACAGTGTGACTCCATCAGCAGCTCTGATCCCGATGCTTTTCCTCGTCAGAGCGGCTGTAATGAGAGGAGAGAGGTGCGCCAGTTCCAGTTCACCGCTTGGCCCGACCACGGCGTTCCCGAATATCCCACTCCGTTCCTGGCCTTCCTCCGCAGGGTCAAAGTGTGTAACCCGCCAGACGCCGGCCCCGTCATCGTCCACTGCAGGTCAGAGTTCAGCCGAGTCACCTGTGTTTGTGTTTCGCTGGTGTCAGGAAGCTAAGCTTTCCATCGATCCGTGCAGCTTTTCCTGGGCAGATGATAAATGTGTGTTGTTTCTTCACTCACAAACGCTTCAGTAAGACTGTGTTGTTTAAGAGTTGCTTGCTTTATTCATTAATTGTGCTGTGTGAGGACGCCGCTGCAGACTAAACTCAAATCCACCCGGAACCGCACTTTCAAAACACTGCTTCATGAAGCTTCAAAACCTTAGTGAATCATTTGTTATGAATCCGAGCCTGTATCAGACTCAGTCTGTATGTGACTTCAGTGAACAAGGCTTCGTTACATCATTAATATGTCAGAATTTCAATGTCCTTATTAACCTATGAACCAGTGTCTATATGGTTTTTACCTGATCTTTGACCAGTTTTATGAATTTGATACATTTGCATAATAAAAGAGTAGTTAATAGTCTCTTTTTGACCTGATTAAGCAAACTCTTCATAAAACAAACAAAACAAGCCCAAATATATAAAATAACACACTTCATATTTAATGGCATTTGATGATTTGTTAATTGGATTTAATAGATTATATTTTCAATACAAGATTTGCAGTTGTTTTGTAAAAGGTGTATTTGTACATTTATTGCGTTTACATCATTCTGATCCGCAGGCGTCACTAGCACGGCACATTTTGAACGCTTAGTTGATTCAAAGTTTAGAAAAGGTTCGTTTCTCTCATCAGACACTATCAGACATTGCGCCAGTGTTGATCTGAATCTTACAGAATTCTGCTCTGGACCGGGTCTCTGGACTCACTGACGTCATGCTGTGAGTTCACTGGTTTCAGTGCAGACGAGGGTTTGTGATAGTGAGCGTTTCACCTTCTTCTGCAGTGCAGTGTGATGCTGACATCTGCTGACCTGTGTGTGTGTGTGTGTGTGTGTGTGTGAGTGTGTGTGAGTGTGTGAGTGTGTCTGAGTGTGTGAGTGTGTGGGTGAGTCTGAGGGAGTGAGTGTGTGTGTGTGTGTCTGAGCGAGCGAGCCTGCCTGGGTGAGTGAGTGAGTGAGAGTGTGTGTGTGTGTTACGTGTGTAGTGAGTGAGTGTGTGAGTGAGTCTGAGTGAGTGAGTGTCTGTGTGTGTGTGTGTGAGAGTGAGTGAGTGTGTGAGTGAGTGTCTGTGTGTGTGTGTGTGAGTGTGAGAG